TGGGTTTGGGATGTCTCCAGAGATGGAGACTCTACAACCTCCCTGAGCAGCCTGTTCCAGTTTTCTGCAACCCTCAATGTGAAGTTCTTCCTCATGTTGAGGTAGAAGTTCTTGTTTCTCAGTTTATGGCCATTGCTCCCTGTCCTGTCACTGGGCACCACTGAAAAGAGTCTGGCACCATCCTCTTGGCACCCCCCTTTGAGATATTTATATGTATTAATGGGATCCCCTCTCAATCTTCTCCAGACTAAACAGGCCCAGCTCCTGCAGTCTCTCCTCGTAAGGTAGATGCTCCAGACCCCTCAGATTGCTGTGGCCTCCCCTGAACCCTCTCCAATAGGTCTTTGCCTTCCTGACCTGTGGAGACCAGGACTGACACAGCACTCCAGATGTGGCCTCACTAGGGCTGAATGGAGTGGCAGGATCATATGATCCCTAAAGGTTACTTTTATACATCAAGCGAACAGCTCTGCAGTTTTTACATATCTCAAAGAAGAGAAAAGTGATGGATAGAAACTTGTAATGACTGAGTACTAAATGTTTCCCTAGTTTGGTATATGATCACTGTGATGTAGTGTAGTACTTAAAGACTGAGATAAGATAAAGAATTGATGTGCAGTTAGTGGAACACCTATATATAGCTCTTACCTAAAAGCACATACAGCGAAGCAAGGGGAGTGTATCCCCTCAGTGGTATGCATTAGCTCTCATTGACTTCACACTCTGACTTCAGAGAACATAATTACTTTAACCTGATTTAGCCCCTGTTTTTTCTAGAAAAAAAACTCACATACTTTTCAGAAACACACAGGCAATGTTCAGTCCTTGCAAAACTATTGATGGATTCTTTTGATGAGGAATTCAATGTTCATGGTCTTGCCATGGGAGACTTCCCTCTGGGCTGTCCTGTCACTGTGACATCCTTACAATTTCCTAAAGATTTAGGATTTATGATATTCACTCTTATCAAGGAAATCCCTCAGTTGAAAATGTTTCTTGTTTAGAGTTTGGGTGAGTGGAGATGTGCAAACATGAAGTCAAATCCTTCTGGCTGAGTAGTTGCACACAAATAGCTTCTTTACTGATATTTTATATTTTATGAAGCCTACTATCCATTAGACTTTTCACTACTCATTGTGTTATCAAAATAGTACAAAAATATTTCATATTTCACCATTTGGTTTGTGTTTTGTTTGTCTTTTCTTGTGGATCTTAGATTCTTCTACCTTCTGTTGAATTCTGAAGGGCTTCTCTTACCTCTTTTCTTGTGGATCTTAGATTCTTCTACCTTCTGTTGAATTCTGAAGGGCTTCTCTTACCTTGTTTTGATGATTTATCCAAGTATGAATACAGCAAAGAAAATGCTCTGTTAAGGGCTTGTCTCTACTTCATGAATATTGCAGCATAGAATATATTGTGTCCTAAAGACCAGAGTCCATTTCTCTAGTAAGAAACAGTTTCTGTAGCTGCTTGTATGAAGAAGTGCTACTATTAAACCAACTGATGTACTTTTATATTTCTACTCTTCTAAAATGCAATTTGTTGTATGAAAACAGCTTGGCCAGCAGCCTGTGCCACACCAGTTTTCTGTGAGTTATCTCTTTGCTTTGAAGAGGATAGCATAGTTCCTGCTAGTGAAGTATTTGGATGATACTTTGTAGGCATGACCAAAGAATGAGGTCATTTTTTATTTTACTTATTTTATTTACTTTTTTATTTTAATTCACTTTTTAGGGAAGTTTAACTTGCTGTTAACTTATAATAGAAGAGACTCTTTGCCTCACCTGACACTCCCCATGCAGAGGTTACCTCTGCTGGGAGGAATCCTGTGAGGTACAACTGATTTGACATGAGTGTCTACAGAGAGATGTAAAATATGTACAGAATATGCTGAACAATAGGCTCAAAGAGTAACTGCATGGAGGAAATAATTGGTCCTTAATGTGTCTTACTGCTCCACTTGGTACATCTCAGGTATCTGAGGTATCTTACTTTTTTGTTGGGGTTTTTTTTTGGAAGTTTTTTATGATTTTGCTTTCTGCACTTCTTGTCTGAGTAAGTTACTTGTCCTGAATGAACTTGAATCCCGAATTCTTTCTTCTATGTGATACAACATCATTTTTTCAAATGATTGTATTTATATATTATATACTCAAGTCGTATCTACACCACCTGGTCTAGTGCAAGGTGTCCCTGCCCCTACCCCAGGCTGGGGCTGCAGCTAGAGGATCTATAAGGTCCCTTCCAACCCAAGCCTTTCTGTAGTTTAATGATTACATCAAACATCAAAGATATCATATCAAAAGGAACAATTTTGTTTTTCTGTAACAGAAAAATATCAATCACAACATTTTGTTATTAATGACAGCAATATATCTTATTTAAACCATTATGAGTTAGCTGTGTAATTAATATAAAGTGATTAATATGAATAGCTGATAAAGTCATATTTTATTGGGTAAAATGAAAATTAGGATTCCGTAATGTATATCAGACATAATAATTATTAATGGAAATGGATTTTTTTGTGGCATTTGTGTAACTGCTAAAGTCAGGCAGTGTGTGTGATACAGCTTTGCTTTTGCAATTTAATACAGTGTAACTGTTTCAGTCATGAGACACTAAAAAAATGAAAGTGTATACACTGTCTATATGTAGGGGCCATTCCTTTTTGAACTGAAGCAGTGTAATTGTTGATTAAAGTATATTGCATCACCTAGTTCAAGAAAAAAATAAATTACTTAATTGCATTGTAGTTGGCTTTCCCTATTTTACCTTGATTATGTAAGATGCAGGCAGACTAAAGTGTTCAATTTTTCTTTTATTCCCACGTATCAGCAATGTTTTCAAACACAGTTCAGTAAAGCAGAGATAAATGTATGCTGTGCAGCAATTACGTTGTAAAATATAAATAAAGAAAAGCACACACATTTCTTTACATGAAGTTCTGAAAATTAAATTGAAATTTATATTTTTCTAAAACAAGGGGCATTTGATATATATCTAAATATATAGTTACAGTGTGCTGTATGACAGTGTTGAGTGCTTCTCTCCTGTGAGCTGTTTTCTACAGTGACTGTCCTTGACCAAATCAGAAAATGAATTTGATTTCTCTAATGCAAAAGGTAATTGGATTTCTCTTTATGGAATGCATCCCTTTAATGACTGTCTCTGCTTCAGCCAATTTAGCTGCAACTGACCTGACATTGATCTGGTGATATGACTTTAAATAAACACCAAAGTTGGGAGATGAAAGACCAACTATTCGATATTTTAAAGAACATTTCCTGCCTCGTCTTGCCATTTTCCTCAGAAAATATCTCCATCTCAAATGTCATTCTTATGAAACATGCTCCTCTAGTAATTGGTCATAGAGCTGCAAATTGCATACTTCTCCCAAATATAATAATTTCCCAGAAGGTATCTGGAGAAACTATTTTGAAACTTGAATAAAACCTCTTGAAATATCTGTTCTTCTTTGCAAATATTCATTAATATGTAGACTCTTCCTAAAAGGAAAAAAATGTTACGAAAGTAATGAATTCAATCTTTGCAGAGATCTTGTTCAGCATTAAATATTTATTGAAATATTTATTGAGATAATTTTGACCTTATAAAAAAGTATAGCTTGCTGATCAAAGAAAAGATTTACCCACATGAAACAGCTATTAAAGGTGGTATTTTTAGGATATTATCTGTTTTTTGTTAAGGTTAATGGAATAATAAAATTCTAGAATGCGCATTTCTATTTATTAAACATAGTCATTATCCTTTGGACCCAGCCCAGGCTAATACACTGAGTACTTTTAACCACAAATGGACTTGAAGCCAAAATTTAGCAAATGAATCCATTTTTTATTTTTCATTGGCCACATTTTTTTTTTTTTTATAAACACTCTTAATGCCATTGATTGAAAGTGGTAGCTTACACTCTGGATGATAAACTGGGTTTTAAAACATCTGTGAAATTTTGTTTTCAGTTTGAAGTTATTTTCTTCTGAAACCTTAAGATTTATTTTCATTCTGATCAAAACACATAGGAATTTCCCACTCTGTGGGAAACACTGTGGTAACAGTAAGACAGAATTTGGTTTGCTTATCTGCATTTTGAAGCAGGTGGTCACCCACACTTCTTTTATCTGATCAATTATTTCATAAATCTTTACAAATGGATAGGTTTTCCACTTTGGATCTTCTGCACAGCAGAATTTATGAGATTATTGTGATGTAACTTTTGGTGCTTTTTAATACAGTTAATATGAAGTAAATGGAAGCTGTGAAAACACAGCTTCCCAAAGAAGCAGATGCCTGAGGGGTATTCACCTCACTCACTGAGCTGAAAGTAATTTTTAATACTTTCATGTACCACCCAGAAATATTGCATATATATGAGTCTCTGGACAGAGAAACAGATGGTCTCTTTAGATAAGAATTATGAATATGAGAATAAATATTTCATATTTTTAAATTTTTTTGCAAGTTTTAAGGGGTGTTTTTTCTATTGCCAGTCCCAAGTGTGCTTTTTATACTGATAGCAGGAACTGAGAGGACATTATAAATGTTATATAGTGCTTAATGCATAGGCTTCCACTCCCTAGCTGCAGTTCTGATTTCAAGAATGGAAATTCTGCTGATGCTGCTCTCAGGAAAATGGTTCCCCTCTCCCAGGTTGGGCCAGAAAGCTTCAGAGCCACAGGGGAATGTAACTCACGTACTGTAGGTTGCTCTAACTTTTAGACTGGTTCCTCTTATCTTCTTATCTTTGGATGTCTACAGGTTTCATTGTTTTTCAAAGAGTTGCATGCACTTCTAGAATATGTAGCCCATTATTTGTTATCTTGACTGCAAATAACACTGGACCTACTATTATTCTACTGTCTGTTGTCATATCAGAACTGATGCAGGTGTGCCAGACAAAATAAAAATGTTCCTGAAGTCCTTGCCAACTCTTCCTTATGTAACACCAGTGTAACTGTCTACTATTTCTTCTTTCCCTATAGGTCACAGATATGATGCTTCAGGACAAGCCTTACCCAGACTGGGGAAAGTCTGCTAGAGCTTTCTGGAAGAAAGGAAACATTAGGATCATTTTATTCTGGTAGGAAAATAATCAAATCAAATTACTGTAAACAAACCTTTTATAGAACGTTGAAAATCACATCTTCTATAACCGTCTGGAGCAGAAAGAGATATGGTTGGGAAAAAAAGGCAAATCTGATCTAACAAAAAAATAAACTTTGCAAAAATGGTACCTGAGTGAGGAATTCCTAATCAAAATAGTTAGGGCAGAAATATAATTTTAAAATTGATTTATACAGTTTCTTTTATTCTATTTCGACACTTTGTAATTGAGTTGCAAAATTTTTTCTGTTTGTCATAATATTTGGGTGTCCCACTGTAATTCCTTGTAATAAGGTAGATATTTGAATTTTCTTTTGTGGCCATAAAATTAATCATGGTAGTTCTTTGAATTGCCACATGAACAGGATTTAAAATGTCACATCAGTCTCAGATGGTTGAGAAAAATTTTAAAAATCAATGCAAAAAGCTGTGATAGTTAAGAGTTTGTTTCACCTCCAATGTGGCCTCTTCCAGATAAATTCCAGGCAAATTTAACTATTGAAACAGAAAACCAATTATGACAAGAAAAATGGAAGATGGAGGATATATATTCTATCAAGTAGTCTGAAGATCTTATGGCTGAAGATTTAAGAAAAAGCAAAGATTTTTTCAATTCTATCAGAACCAGAAAAACTCATGAAAATGTCATCAGACCCACTGTTTTTGAAAGAACAGATTTCAAAAGAATTCTTACAGGGAAATTGAAAGATTTATTTGTATGCAGTCTCCTACAGAAAATGAAGTATCTTGCACTTTAAAGGAGCAAAAATGAGCTATTTTATTAAGCTGAGGCAATAAAGGAAATAATAAGAGAAATTTGAAAAGAAAGCAGAATCAGATGGTTGATTGGCTACACACAAAGCTTATAAAGGGGTTGAGCTGATGCAAGTTTTATTAGCACTTAATTACCTGTTGGAAAATTGAATATTAAAATTTGGATATTGTTTTGCTTTTCTGCCTTTTTTTCCCAGCAAACTAGTATCATCCTACTGGCCAGTAAGTCTGAGTTCAGGTTTAGCTAAATTGATAGAATATATTATATAATTATATATCATTCTATATCAATAATGGAAATATGAACAAATATCTAGATCAATTTCTGCTGAAGGAACCTGGGGAATCTTTGCTGAAGGAAAACCTTCTCTGATCTGTTAGAATTCTTTGCACATTCCATCAAAGTAATGGATGAAGGAGAAATGCTTGATCTAATTTATTTGGATTTTCCCAAGGGTTCTGAGAGAGTTCTTTACTGAGTGCAATTAAGAAAACTAGTAAGACTAAGTGTGCTAACATTTAGAAATTGTCTCAGCAATGTGCTGAGTGAAAGGCATGAATAAAATAATATTTTTTTCTACATTGATAAGGCCGAGGAGTTATGTTATTTAATGTTTGAAGTAGAATTCATTATTTATATCCATCATAAATGTTAGTGACATGACAGAATTTAAAGATTAAGTTAATAATTTGAAAAATGCATGAGAGAGGGATCTTAGAAAAACAGGTGAAAAAAATAATGTAACTGAATACTTGAGTTATGGATGAGGGTGGGGGGGTTTCAAGAAGCTCCTTGTCATCATTGCAGGATGTGCAGAGGAAGGTTCTGTCTCAGCATGCAGGGATGGGCAAAAACATAAAGCAGATGTATAAAAACATTCCCAGACAGGTGCCAAGTGGGCTACCAATGATTACAATATCATCTGAGCAAAAAGATCAGTGTAGAACATCATTGGGTTTTTTTACCCTTCTCTGAAGGGTAGCTTTGTCTAAAAGACTGAAAAGGATATTAGTTAATATTTAAGAAAAAACTTGATTACACTAAAAGACTGGAAAAATGGGAAAAAGGATTAAAAGCAAGGTGACATGATAATTTTAAAATTTGCATGCCAGATGGGGAGACAAATAAAAAAATAAAGCAAGAAATTTTCTTCCACTCTGAAATGTTAAAAATCAATATTTTATTCCAAATAAAACTCACACTAAAAAATCCTACCAAAAGTTCAATGTAGAAGTAAGTAAAAAAAATGGATTTTCATGCAGGAGTCTCATACTAAAGGGTATGCTCAAAACCTAAAGGGTGACATAAATGCTTTTATTTTTAGCTTTAAGCAGTGAAATAAAACAGCCCTGGATGACAGTCAGTATTCTGTAGACATAACTTACATAGTGTAAATTTTACATCAGTAAAAGTAGATTCTTTTTCTCCACTAAGTAGGAAAAATAAAGGAGTGGTAACACTATGCATGGTAACATGGGGTATTTTTATTTACTTTATTGTTATAAAAATTAATTGTTTATTAACTTTATTGTGATAAGTATTGCCTCATTTCTGAAATGTCCTAAATGAAGCATCCTCAACAGTGTGTCCTACACAGATACTGCGTAGGACAAAATCCATCTATTCAGGACATTTTCTAGTTGCACACCTTTTTAATAGAGCTAATGCAATACTGTGTTTTAAAAATACAGTATTTTTTAAAATACTGTATTTTAATTATTCCTAGTATAGATATGTGATACACAGGCTAAAGTGGTAGATGAAATGAAAACCTTAGATACAAACTAGACTTGTTTTTCTGCTAATGTCTTTTTTATTTTCGGGTTTACTTTGCAAAATTAAAAACTTCTGTAAACATACCAAAGATGGATGGATTTTAAAGGTGGTGAAGGCACCATACACTTATTTTAACTTTATGATAGTTAATTATGTGGCTGCTTTGTTTCTTATTTGGAAAAGTTTTCAGTTCTCCAATGCAACTAATTCACAAAAGTTTTGACTTATTTTTTCAATCTCCTGTTTTAAATCATTCTCTGGAAACATTGTCAGCAACTGCTTGTTGGTTACTCCTGAGGATTCTGGCTGACTTCTGAATTTCCTCACAATATAATTCTTCCACAAACAGCTCATCTAACTAAAGAATGATCAGTTTCTATTTGCCTTTGTGTAGTCCATCACTAAGGAGTATTTTGAAATGCCTTCAACTTTTTTTGAAGTCAGAGGTTGTCTTTTTTTCCTTAGGAAGGTCTCAATTTTGGTAATTTTCAGCTCTGTTCATGGCTAATTCCAGCATTCTGAGGCAGCTTTGTGTAACACTGTTATATTGCTAAGTGACACAATGCAAATGCAAACACACCTTCTCATGGGTTTAAGAAAGTGTGCTATCAAGAGGACTTCTAGAGAACAATGAAGCATCTTGAGCCTCAATGGAATTGCTAAGATGTTGCAGACAAGTTTGTGGGTCACAAAAGAGAGATACATACAAAGAGTTAAATATCTGCACCACCTGCAGTCAGATGAGTCCCTCTACAGACCACTGTCTCCAGTGCTCTGTCATCACCATCAGTACTGCAGAATTATGAGCATTATTTGAAACAGGCTGATTTTTTTTTTTGATATATGTTGATAACTTGGCTGATTTAAGAGAGGCCAATTATATATGACATGAGAGCACTGGCATTTGAAAGCAGCAAAAAGGAAAGGAATTTGTTGAATAAAGTCAAATAAAGATCTTGGACATGACTGATGACAAGTCAACAGCTGTAGCTAGTGGTAAGATAAATAAACACGACAATATAAAACCGTAGTAATTTTGATGTTGGATATTAGATGAAGCAGGGGCAGAGGTAGTATTTGAGAACACTTATTGTTTTGCAATTTTATTTTATTTTTTTCCCTGCAAACATTTAATAAATCCAACCAACACTAAAGGTGTCCCCTACACACGTGCAGAGGAGCGAGCTCTCCCCAGCAGTGCAGACAGGTGATGTTGTTAGAGGCAGCCCACACCAGTGCCCCAGTGTGGCTCTGTAGTCATCACCCATGCCAAAGCACTGCTCTCTGCCACCGAGGCCTGACATTACCTCTGCCTACCTTGTGCCTGATTTCACTGTCTCCTCCTTACAGCATCTTCTGCACTGACCTGCCATATCCTGTGGGCAGCTGCGCAGAGTAGCTGGAATAAAATCATAAGGACATCTCTGGGCTGTGTGCACAATTTGATCAGTAGAGGCAAGACCTGAATTCTCTCCTTTGGAAAATTGTTCCAATATTAATTGTCTTCAAAATTTTCCTAACAGAGTATGGATGATTTGTAATGAGCAATGCATAAAGAATATGAGCTTTTAGCCTTAGGGAAAAAACAGAGCACAATCAAAAGGAAACCAGTTTACAGGGATAGAGGAAAGAGCTGCTGAGGTCTGTGTAACCAGGTAACAGAAAATTGATATTCAAAGGTAGATGATCGAAATGGGGGATTGTAGAGATAACAGTGGATTGTGCAGCTGAATCTTGATTGCAGACAGTGACAGCACAATATATACAAGCTGAACCTTTGAATATGCAAGTTCCAGGCTAGAATCCATTTCTGTGGTGTCCCTGGCTAGACATTCATTGTATGTGTGCACAGTCTTTATTGGTGCAATAAAGACAATTGTCCTTTGACACTGGATAATGCAAAACAGATACCAACATGGAAAATAAATAATGAAATATGGATAATTTTAAATTTTTGATTCTCTGTTTGCTGTTTGACTTCACAAACTAAATATTCTTCTATTAGTATGTATTTCCATAAGCCCCCGCTAGCTTTCTTTAATAAAAAATATAACTGCACATGCTTAGAAATGTGTGTTAGGAATCACAGTATTTCAATTTAGCACCTATTTAAATTTAAAATCTAGTAATATAGGTTTGGAAGCTTTTATTCAAAGTCATTGTGCAGAATTGCTACAGAGTTCTAATTTATGTACATATGTTTATACTGGATTGCTTCAAACATAGCTGAGGTTAGTATTCTTAACTGGACAATATTTTGTACCCTGGAAGCAGAGAAAGCTTCTTTGGGAGATAGATAGCCACATCTCCTATAAAAAAATAAAAGCAGTTTCTATAAGAGATTTTCTGTTATGCACCTATTTGAATGTTTGGTTTGATAAATTATATTTCCATATTCTATGTTTTCACAATCAAGGTGATAAGTT